CAGCCTGTAGGGCCGGACGCGCCGTCCCCCTCAGAAAGCACGGTCCCCGTCGCCTCGCCTGGGGGCCACTCTGCCCCCTCTCCCCCCACCCCCGGACTTCCCGCCCTGTCTGGGGACAGTGGGGTTGTCACATACCACACAGCGGCCTCTAGAGGGTGGTGGCCGGGGATGCTGCTCAGCATCCCCCGACGCATGGGACCGCCCCCGCGACAAAAAGCCATCCCGCCCGGGTGTCCGCAGTGCCCAGGTTGGGAAACCCTCCTGCTGTCTGCAGGGCCTTGCGTGTCCGAGGTCTTGCACCAGCTGTGGAAATCGGTTCGAAGTCAGCGGAGTCACTTAGCCGATCGCCCCCCCCAGCGACCAGCCGCAGAAGCTCCATCCCGCGAAGTGAGGGAGCGAGGCGAATGCGCACAGCCTGACGCCGCGCTCTCCCACTTGGGAGCGGACGGCTGGGGAACCAGGCAACTTCGGCTCTCGCGGCACCTTAAATCAGTACATTCTCAAAATGGTGAATGGGCGGTCTTTCTGTCGAACAACTATTACTTCCTATAAAGGCCTCAAAAGCAATCTTTGTGCCCCCCCCCCCCCCGCCCCAAGGCAAGAAGAGCACCTCTCTAGTTCCAAGTTGGCGTGGAAACCAGCCTCAGGCTCCACTCGGTCTCAGGGATCCGTGGATTTCCGTGTGACCAGCTGAGTTCCCCGTGGAAATTGTATCAAGAGGTTCCAGCAGCCTCCACTGCGCAGAACTGCCAACGGTCCCTTCCTGTGGGCAAGTGACACCAGGGGTCACTAAGAGTGAGGGTTAAAAATTAAATTACTCACATATGATCCAGCAATTGCACTACTGGGTATTTACCCCAAAGATACCAATGTAGGGATCCGAAGGGGTACGGGCGCCCCGATGTTTATAGCAGCAATGTCCACAATAGCCAAACTGTGGAAAGAGCCAAGATGTCCATCGACAGATGAATGGATAGAGAATATGTGGTTTATATATACAATGGAATATTATGCAGCCATCAAAAGGAATGAGATCTTGCCATTTGCAACGACGTGGATGGAACTGGAGGGTATTATGTTGAGTGAAATAAGTCAAACAGAGAAAGACATGTATCATATGATCTCACTGATATGAGGAATTCTTAATCGCAGGAAACAAACTGAGGGTTGTTGGAGTGGGGGGTGGGGTGGGAGGGTTGGGGTGACTGGGTGATAGACACTGGGGAGGGTATGTGCTCTGGTAAGTGCTGTGAATTGTGCAAGACTGTTGAATCTCAGATCTGTACCTCTGAAACAAATAATGCAATATATGTTAAGAAAAAAAAGAAGAAAAGAAGATAGCAGGAGGGGAAGAATGAAGCAGGGGAAATCGGAGGGGTAGATGAACCATGAGAGACGATGGACTCTGAAAAACAAACAGGGTTCTAGAGGGGAGGGGGGTGGGAGGATGGGTTAGCCTGGTGGTGGGTATTGAGGAGGGCACATTCTGCATGGAGCACTGGGTGTTATGCACAAACAATGAATCATGGAACACTTCATCTAAAACTAATGATGTAATGTATGGGGATTAACATAAGAATAAAAAAATTTTTTAAAAAATTAAATTACTCAGTTTTCTTAGAAAATACTCACTTGTTGAAAATTCTGGTTAAAGTTTTTCTTTGCATTTGGTTCAAAACTAACATGATACGAAAAGGTCTATGTTAGAAAATCTTGCCCTCCCCTGTTCTTCCATCCTGTTCTTCCCTTAGGGACCTATATAGGTAATTGCTTTTAGTGGTTTATCGTGCATTCTTATCCTTCCAGGTTTTCAAGTGAATACAAGCAAATGTATTCTTGTTTCCACTTTACTTACACAAAACATTGTAGTCCTGTATGCGTTTTTCTTTGTCTTGCGTTTTGTCCCTTAACATATACTGGAGATTTTTCCATTATTAGTTCATACTTTGCTCCTTGTAATGGCGAATAGTATTAAAAACCAAGATCTAGACACTGGGTGTGCTAAGTAAGTGCCCCTTGAGTAACATTCCTTCTAGGACCTTTCCCTGGATTTAGCTAGGAAATATATGTGTGTTTTTGGCCGGGCGGGGGAGAGGTTGTTCTTATTGTTTAAGGTTTTATTTTTATTTTTTAAAGATTTTTTTTTAATTTATTTATTTGAGAGAGAGAGACCATGAGCAGGGGGGAGGGGCAGACAAAAAGGGAGAAGTAGACTCCCCACTTAGCAGGGAGCCCGCCCACCTGGGGCTCCATCCCAGGACCCTGGGATTATGACCTGAGCCTAAGGCAGATGCTTAACCACCTGAGCCACCCAGGTGCCCCTAAAATTTTATTTTTAAGTAATCTCTACACCCAAGGTGGGGCTCAAACTTACAACCCCGAGATCAAGAGTCACACACTCCACCGACTGAACCAGCCAGGTGCCCGGGAAATATATGTTTTTTAAATCATGAGTTTAACATGGTATTTCTAATTCAGTTTTAATTTTGCAGTGTTTTTTTTTTCCTTAACTTTCTGGATTTTATGTTAATTTTTATATGTTACACTAAAAATATTGGCTCCTAATAACATTGATTTATTTACTTAATGGTACTCTCCTTCCCTGTATATAAAAAATGACACTCAGAAACATTGCTGCCCATATCTAGCAACCCCACTTCTGGAAATATATTCTGAGTGTCAACCTCCCAAAATACAAAACAATATGAGATTATTTGTGGGAGCATTATTTCCAGCAGCAAAAGATGAGAAGCAACTCAAATGTCCATCAGTAGGAAAGTGGCAGAATTAGCAATATACTTTGTTTTAAAGTCATAGGAAGGTATTGTTTTTTCAGACTGTTGTGGTCGTGTTTCCAAATTGATGAGCAATTAGGTTTCTCTTGTTGTTTGTTTTCAGTTTTGAGGATTGCAGTTGTATTTTTTTAAATATGATTCCAAAGCCAAAATTCTCTAATAAGACATGTTCAGGGAATTCTAACTATAATTCCTGTCTCTTCTTCTCAGTTATTCTCCTGCCCTTATTGGTCACCATTTATATTCATTTGTTTTATTCTCTCAGTATTTCTTTTGCATTTAGAAGCAAATGGGTATGTGTATCTGTGTATGTATCTGTCTATATGTGTCTATAAATGTATATATGCAAAATATATATATGCACATATATATACGTACATATGTGTCTCTCCTGGCCTTTCCCTTCTTATAAAAAGGAACATTTCATACACTGTTTTATACCTTGATTTTTTTTCTCTCCTTATATTTATTGGGGATAATAATCTCTATGAATACCTAGAGATCATCTCATTCTGTAATGGCTGCATGATTCTTCACTGTATGGATATCCCCTAGTTTATTCAACCAGTTCCCTATAGATGGTCATTTGTGTTGCTTTTAGTCCTTCGCTATTATATATATTGTCACAGTAAATAGTCTTAGACATCGGTTTTAGTATTTCCGTATCTTTGAGAAAGATTCCTTCAAGTGCGATTGACAGAGAAGAAGTAAACATCTTCACAGTTTTGCGTGATGATGACAAATTTCCTTCTGTAGGATTGCACCCCAGCAGTGTATGAGAGTGCCTTTCCGGACAGACTTTCCAATAAAGGGTTTTTCTTGATCTGACAGATAAGAAATAGTATGTGTAGTTGCAATCTGCATCTCTGTTATTATGAATAAGATCACCAGTGATTCTACCAAGGGTGGTGTCCTTGAAATGGTTGAAACCAGAGTGTCCCAAGTTGAGGAGTAAGTGGGACGTGAGGAAATGAGTCAAGGGTTGAAAACACTTTGCCAGTGATCAGGGAGAGACTAGGTGGAAACAGAAGGAAACCTGCCCTTATGATAGATTTATTTCACTACTAAAAACACTGCATTCCCCCATATATATATTTACTGTTAAGCCAACATATTGGTAAAAACGGCTCAATATCAGGAATATGGATTTATAATAAAGACAGCAACCTATTACTGAGTAGTTGAATAGCAGTCCAACAATTATTATTTTTTTTATCATGGCAAAACCCACTTAAGGTAGAAATATTGAAAAGCCAGTAATATTTCCCCCTCTTGTAGGAATTAAATTAAGGAAGTGTGGGCATTCTACTGAAATGTCACTGTAACACATAGATTTCACCATAATCTGAAATTAATCTTTCTGTGAGGGTTACTTTTCTAAGCAGCAGGAAAAATGGTTAATAGAACACCCTAATTTAAATAAACTTAGCTTAAATTTAGAGATATATCAGCTTCTGACAAACTCTCATTAGTAATAAATTTAGGAAATGGCTAGATGTTGTAAACATCAAATGGGGAGTGCCTGAGGAGACAGGAGAGCGGCTGGACTGAGTCCTTTGTGTGGTTGAGAACAACTGAGTGGACAACGATGAGGTTTGGGAGGCTGGGTTCAGAGAGACATTTCTGAGCTGTTGTTCTAGATGGTAGAACAGGGTCAGGTGATGACAGAGTCTAGGGTGGTGCCGATGGAAGGTGCGGCCAACGTGGATGGGGACCAGCTCGTAACAGTGAGGGTCATCCTCACGCCCTCTGATGTTATCTGAGGGCAGTGGGACTGGAGATGGAAAGACTCATGGGAGGCAGATGGCAGCGTGTCTATTTGGTAAAGGGGTTGTAGCTGGGAATGTGTTTGTGACAACCGCTTGGATGGGAAGGATGTGCCCTGAGACTCGGTGGAGCTGAGGATTTAAATGGGGGTGACACAGGCTTGTGCTGGTTGTTCCAGTTAGGACAGAAGAGGACAAGTTTTTCACATGCCCTCCGTTCATCACATGCTAGTAAGCAAAGTAAAGACCCAGGATTGGAGACCCCACTTGCATTTAAAGGAGGACACGGTGGGCAGGCTGAGACCCGTTCATCCTCAGTAGCCTGGAGAGGGAGAAAGGCTGTGAAAGCTTCCTGTTTTCCTATTTCGTCCAGAGCCTGGCCTGCGTGCACTGTGGGGACGAGAGGAGGAGTGTCCGGGTGCTCTGTCTGAGTCACAGGATGGCGGCCATGGTTCTGTCCCCCACTTGCAGTAAGTTGGGGGGCCCTCAAAATCCAAGCGTTAAAGGCCCCTGCACCACAGAGCAGGAAAGGAGGGGCTGAGCAGGGAGGTGGGAGTAGAGCCCCGAATGCCCAGGGGTCACCAGGACCCCGTGTGGTTCTTGGGATTTGGGGTGTTGGTGGTTTGAGTGTGTCTGTGGAGATCTCACCTGTGTCCTGAATATGGGAGAGCCTTTGAATTTACCTCAAATTCTTTCTATAAACTTGATAAAATGAAGTGCTGTCCCTTGAACTTCAATTTCCTCATCTGTGAAATAGGAATTATCATCTTTTCCTCCAGCGCAGTAAGAGCCTTGGCCCTGTTTTCTGGCCCTGGTGCGACAGGGCTCTGCTCTGTTGTCCTGTGAAAGGTGTGTGTGTGTGTGTGTTGGGGTATGGTCAATTACAGGTAGGTGAGGAAGCCTCCAAACTGGTGAGTGCTAGAATATAGAGCAATCCTGGACTCTTCTGACTCATTTCTTCTCCAGCTCAGTCTTCCCTGTACTCAGCCTCTCCTCAAAAAGGATGCACAGAGGAGGAAGGGTTGGTTCATGGCTTCCTGACAAGCTGATTACCGGTGAGTCACATATTTTTTTCCCAAATAATTATTCTTTTGACCAAAAGTTAGACTTACCTTTCAGGGCCTGGAGCCCCACAGCCAAACCAGGTCTTCAGGCATTCCAGGATCTCCGGGCATCTGGTGGTGGATAAAGGGTTGTCAGTGTTTATCAATATTTTCTATATTTTCCTAACTTCCTCCAGAGTCACTTTATACATTACATTATTATTAGTTTTAAAGGAAAGACATGACTGTGTCCTATATTCAAGCAATTGGTGATGGCCACTGGGGAGTATCTCTGACATCTGCCATGTCCCCGGCCTATGCTCAGCCCTGAGATCGAGGGAAATAAGACTGCAGGATTCCACGGTCTCACTGGAATAAGGGACTCGCCTACATGTTAAAGGTACATTTCACCTTGGGGTGGGCGTCAGTAGGCAGGAGAGGAGCCCTGCAGGCTGAGCCCAGGAGCAGTGGAGAGCAGAGCTCAGAACCCTGCCCGTACATCTTGTGCTTGGGGTGTCCTGTCCCTAGTCCTGTCATCCTCCTATCAACTTGGTGGGGGTGGTCCTTGGCTAAGCCATGATGCTTGTGACGGCTCAGGACTTGGTGACCTTCGAGGATGTGGCCGTGGAGTTCACGCAGGAGGAGTGGGCACTGCTGGACCCTTCTCAAAGAACACTCTACAGAGACGTGATGCGGGAGAACTGCATAAATCTGGCATCGCTGGGTAAGCCCCACCTCAGCCCTGCATTTATTTAATGACTCAGGTAATAAGTCTTTTCTTTTTTTAATTCATGTGACATTCACAGAACAGAAAACATTTTTAATGTATAATTCAGTGATTTTTAGTAATGCCACAGTTTTGTGCAACCATCTCTAATTCCAGAACATTTATTGCACCAAAAATAAACCCTATAATCATTAAGTAGCCACTCCCTTTCCCACCTACTCCAGCCACTGGCTACCGTGGATCTACTCTCTGTCTCTGGTTTTACCTGTTCTGGACATTGCATATAAATGGAATCATACAATATATAGCCTTTTGTATCTGACTTCTTTTGCTTAGAATAAAGTTTTCAAGGTTCAGCCATGCTGTAGCATGTGTCGAACTTTATTCCTTTTTCTGGCTGAACGTTATTCCATGGTGTGTATATACCACTTTCTCTGTGCCCACTCATCAGTCGATGAACATTTGAGTTGTTTCCACCTTTTGGCTACTGTGAAGAGTGCTGTGCTCTGCTATGAACATTCATGTATGTTTTTGCCTGAACATTTGTTTTCAATTCTCTTGTACGTTTGCCTAGAAGTGGGATTCCTGGGTCATATGGTCATTTAATGTTTAACTTTTTGAGGAACCTCCAAACTTTTCTCCATGGTACCTGTGCACCATTTACATTCCCACCAACAATGTGGAAACACTTGGTTATTTGCATTTCCCTAAAGAATAATAAGATGGGTCCTCTTTCCATGTGCTTGTTAGCCATTTGTATATCTTCTTTGGGAAAATGTGTATTTGAGTCCTTTGCCCACTTTGAGAGGGCTGGGGTTGTTTGCCTTTTTATTGTCGAGTTGTAAGAATTCTTTATGTATTCAGGATGCTGGACCCTCATCAAATAGATGATTTGCAAATATTTTCTCCCATTCTATGGATTGTCTTCTCACTTTCTTGAAGGATAGTTTTGCTACATATAGAATTAATGAATGACAGAGGTTTTTTCCTTTCAGCACTCTGAATATGTCATCCCACTACTTTTTGGCCTCTGTGATTTCTGATGTGAAATCAGCTGTTAATCTGATTGATGGTGATCCCATATATGTGATGAACTAAAAATTCTCTTGTTGCTTTCAGGATACTCTCTTAGTCTTTAGCTTTCAACAGTTTGATTATAATGTGTCTCAATTTGGTCTCCTTGAGTTTATCCTCTTCGGTGTTCATTAAGTTTCTTGGATATGTAGATTCATGACTTTCTTCAGTTAAGGGAATTTTGTGGCCATCTATCTTTTTAAAATATTGTTTCTGCCCCTTTCTCCATCTCCTCTCCTTCAAGAACTCCATTATGCACATGTTGGTTGTTTGATGGTGTCCCACAGGTTTCTTATGCTCTGTTCTTTTTTTTTTTTTTACCCTCTATGCTCTTCAAATTGGGCAATCTCAATTGACCTGTCTTCAAGTTCACTGATTCTTTCTTCCACCAGATCAAGTTTGATGATAAACTTTTCTAGTGAATGTTTCATTTTAATTTATTGTACTTTCCACTCCAAAATTTCTGTTTGGTTCTGTTTTATAATTTCTTTCACTATTTGTTGAGAATCCTTTTTCATGGTTTCCTTTAGCTCTTTGCACGTTCTTAAAATAGTTGAAATCTTGGTCTAGGGGTGCCTGGGTGGCTCAGTCGTTAAGCATCTGCCTTCGGCTCAGGTCATGATCCCAGGGTCCTGGGATTGGGCCCCACATTGGGCTCCCTGCTCAGCAGGAAGCCTGCTTCTCCCTCTCCCACTCCCCCTGCTTGTGTTCCCTCTCTTGCTGTGTCTCTCTCTGTCAAATGAATAAAATCTTTAAAAAAAAAAAAAAGAAGAAATCTTGGTCTAGTAAGTCTCTTCCTTAGGGACAGTGTTTCTTAATTTCCTTTTTCTGTAATGGTCATGCTTTTTTGTTTCTTTGCATGCCTCATAATTTGTTGAAAACTCCAAAAACGTTTGGAATGTTAGGACAGTTCTGTAAGTCAGAGATTCTCCTATCCCCAAGGTTTATTGTTGTTGCTTGTTCTAGTTAGTATTGTTTGGTGACATTTTCTGAACTAATTTTGTAATGTCTGTATTTGTTGTGTGTGGCCACTGCAATCTCTTGTTAAGTTAACGGTCAGCTAGTGATTTATCAGAGGTTTCCTTAAATGCCTGGAACTCCAAAACTCCCAGTCTTTGCAGATGGTCTCTGTGTATATAGGAGCATGCCTTCAAAACTCAAACAGTTTACAACTCTGCCTTAGCCTTCACTAACTGCTTGTGTAGAGCCTGAAGGTCAGTCAAAGGTGAAGGCTTAGTGCCTTTTCAGATATTTTCTGAGCGTACACCCAACCGTGGGTATGTACATGTTCTATATTCCTAGGACTGTGCGAGCTTTTCAAAGCCCCTTTCCCCCAAAGCATCTTGTTCCCTGCTTTTCCTCTGAGACTTTTTGGCTAGTCTTATGTGTGCTTTAGTGATTTTCCCTTGCCCCAAGCAGCAGTAGCTAATACATTTAAATGTAGTCAGTACATGCCCCAGCCCTCCGCCCCCATAGCCACTTCAATTCCAGGAGAGTTTGGAGTTAAACGAAATAAAGGCAAGCCCTGTGAGCCACCAGGAAGGTCAAAACAGACAATCACACTTCTTTGAAAATAAGATTTGTCCTACTTCTACCAGTACTAAGAGCACAGATTGTTGTCTTCAAAATGCTTGCTTGGGTGGGACGGAGGATAGGGTGAGGATCAGCTAAAATGTCACAAAGCTCTCTTACAGATTCAGCTGTTTGTCTTGATTAAGCATTTTCCTTGTTGCTGTAAGCTCTTGATCACTTCCTAGAGTTTTAGTAATTCAAACAGTTTTTACCTGTTAATTTGCTTTTTTTTTTTTTTTTTTTTGTGGAGGTTAGACTGTAGAGTTCCCGACTCCACCATTTTTGCTGACATCACTTCTCAGAAGTCTTTCTTGAGCACCTTTATGTTCCTAGGCCTGTGCTAGGAATTGGGAATACAGTGGTGAACAAGACAGATGTGGTCCCTACCATCATGGAGCTTACACTCTAATGCCTGCCCTGTGAACTGAAGATCTAGTCCTGGGACTGACTTTATATTCTCTATGCATAAAAGTTTTGGAGCTTTTAAATATGTATTTGAGCTTGGGTATTAGTTTCTGGTACTAGTTATTCCCCCAGGCACCGTGGGCATTGACTGAGGATACATTCATTTTTTTTTTTTTTTCACTATGAAAGAGAGCTACTGTATTTATTAGAATTTAGGGATAATTATCCCATTGTTCCTAAAGCCACACCTGCTTATCTTCAGAAGTAGGGGCTTCAGTTTCATGGTGGGGTTCATTTTCCCCTGTAGAGTCCCCCTACATACTATGTCCTTTCTTTATGTATAGGAAATCAAGTTGATAAACCTGGTCTGGTGTCTGAATTGGAGCAAGAAGATAAAGTGATTACAGAGGAAATCAGAATTCTCCCAGGCAACTGTCCAGGTGAGCACCAGGTAGATTGTGAGTCCTTGTGAGGAACATGTCTGGCCTGTGGCTTGGGAGTTTGGAGTATTACATTAGGAAATGTCACTCAGGGAACTTCGTAAAATGCCCTTTTTTTTTTTCCTGACAAGATCAAAAGCATTTAGGATAAGCTTCCTTGTGTACCTTCTTTGCTTCCTCTTAAATTCTCTGTTCATCACTTCACACTTTACTTCAGCCTTAGAGGAAGAAAAAAGACATGTCTCTTTTTCTTCTTAAATGTAAGTTTCACGTGAGCTCCATCCCACTTTACATTCCTGACGATTCCTTCTTCTGTCAGCCTCAATCTCAATCTTCCTAGAGTCTTAAAAATACCTAAAATTGGGGCACCTGGGTGGCTCAGTCGGTTAAGTGTCTGCCTTCGGTTCAGGCTTTGTGTTCTTTCTCGCTATCTCTGTTGCTATCTCTCTTTCTCTGAAATAAATACAATCTTTTAAAAATACCTAAAATTGTCATACCTGTGTCCCTTTCATTGCAAACCTCCTGAAAAACGCTAATCCTTTAAGGTCTGTCTTCAGTAATATGTGCATTTTATCTTTTATTTTCTCCACAAACTTAAACTTCTTTTCAATTTGTTTCAGATTTGGAGACTCTACTTAAAGCCAAAGGGTTAACTTCTAAGTAGCATGTTTTTAGAAAAGAACAATATGAAGGTGTAAAAATGGTAAGATTTCTAATTTTCCACAGTAGGAATATGCCATAAATTAGAAAAACTACAAAGTTACCAAGAGAGTCATTCTCCCAAGAGAAAGTGGCCTCTGAAGAGATACCATGAAACTATTGTGAATTTGGAGAAAAATGATTTCACAGTTATTTCTTCCCTGAGCATCTCCATAATTGTTTCCATAAATGTGACTCAGATATTAAAGATTTCAAACATAAACTGGTGTTAAACCTATCAGAAAACTGTTCTCTGAATATGATAAAGACTTGTGGCACCACAGCCATCTTTTTTAACTTCTTTTTTTTTTTTTAAAGATTTTATTTATTTATTCATGAGAGACAGAGAGAGAGAGGCAGAGGGAGAAGTGGGCTCCCAAGGAGCAGGGAGCCCGATGTGGGACTCGATCCCGGGACGCTGGGATCATGACCTGAGCCGAAGGCAGACGCTTAACCATCTGAGCCACCCAGGTGCCCCATCTTTTTTAACTTCTAATCACTCAAACTAGCATAAAGCCTATACAAACACTCAAAGTAGCAAAAATGCCAAATTATAATGTTATACATAACAGAATTCCTGGGAGAGAGAATTCCTACGATAGCACTGAATATTAAAAATACTATAAATTATAGTTATCATTCATCTCTTAATCAACAGGAAAGAAATCATCTTGGAGTGAAACTCAACAAATGTAATCAGTGCTTTAAAATCGTCAGCACAAAATCTAACCTCACTCAGCACAAGAGAATTCATACTGGAGAAAAACCCTATGTCTGTAATCAGTGTGGCAAATCCTTCAGCAGTAGTTCTTACTTGACTGTTCATAAAAGAATACATAATGGGAAGAAACCCTGTGAATGCACTGACTGCAGGAAAGCCTTCAGTAATCCCTCTTCCCTTAGACTGCACGTGAGAATTCACACTGGAGAAAAACCTTACAAATGTAATCAGTGTTTTCATGTCTTCCATACTAGATGTATCCTCAAAAGGTACAAGAGAGTTCATACTGGGGAGAATCATTATGAATGTAATCAGTGTGGCAAGGCCTTCAGCACGAGGTCTTCCATTACTGTGCACAACAGAATTCATACAGGGGAGAAACCTTATGAGTGCCACGATTGTGGGAAAGCCTTTAGGAAGAGCTCACATCTGACCCAGCACGTGAGAACTCATACTGGAGAAAAACCCTATGAGTGTGATCAGTGTGGAAAATCCTTCAGCAGTAGTTTTTCTCTTACTGTGCACAAGAGAATACATAATGGAGAGAAACCCTATGAATGTAGTGACTGTGGGAAAGCGTTTAATAATCTCTCATCTGTTAAGAAACACATGAGAACTCACACTGGAGAAAAACCCTACAAATGTAATCATTGTGGGAAATCTTTCAGCAGTAACTCTTACCTTTCTGTGCACAAGAGAATTCATAATAGGTAGATAGGAATGCAGTGACTATGGGAAAGCATTCATTGGTTTCTTATCCCTCTGACATCATGGGAACTCATGCTGGATGTAGAAATTATCTTTGTATAACAAATTAGCCCCAAAACTTAGTGCTTTAAAGCAACAAACATTTATTATCTCACAATTTATGTAGGTCAGGGGTTCAGAAATGGATTAGCTATGTCTTTCTGGTTCTAGTTCCCTCACAAGGTTGCAACCAATATGTTGACCAGAACTGCAGTCACCTGAAGTCTTTAGGACTGAAGGGTCCACTCTGAAGATTGATTATTCACATGCCTGACAAACTAGTGCCAGTTGTTGGCATGGGACCTGTGGTTCCTTGCCATGTAGGCCTCTCTGCAGTGATGAGTGTCTTTATAATATGGCAGCAAGTTCTCCCCAAATAATGTGATCCAAAAGAGCCAATGCAGAAGCCATAATGTCTTTTATGACCTAGCCGCAGGATATATTCTCTTCATCTGTATTGTGTTGGTCACCCACACTGGTTCTGACAGTGTGGGAGGAAACTACACAAGATATGGATACAAGGAGACAGAAAACACTGGGAACCATCTTGGAGATTGATCATGACTCAGTGAAGAAAAGCTATCAGCAGATCCTCCTTCTAATCCAGTCAATATGGAATACCATTCAATAGCCCAAATGTTAACTCACTGTGGAGAGAAACCCTATAAGTGCCTACTTTGTGGTAAAACTTTTACCTCAAACTCTCACAGAAGTAAAAAAAAAATTACCAACTGGGGAGAAACAGGAGGAATGCATTGGCTAAAGGAAAGCCTTTGTGGTATCTTGTGAATCACATGAAATTCACATGAAGGGAAAACCCTATGAATATCATCAAAATGGAAAACTCTTCAGAAGACATTCATCCTTTAAGACATACATAAGAAATCACACTGTACAGGAACACTGTATATAAGGAATATGGAAGGAAACAATTGGCACTCTCCGCTCTACTTTACTCTCCCCTGCTCTGTGCCTCGAGAGGTTAATGGACTATATCAGTGGGCTCATATACCTCAGGCTTCTGTTTGGGTTGGTCAGTGGGGAGCCCAGGTGGGAGATCAGAAGGATAGAGGAGAGTGAGTCCACCCCACAGCATATCCCTGCAGGAGAATTGGGTTCTGGATGCTACACTTGGCCACTTTTCAGTCCCTGTAGTGCAGCCCTCTCCCCTCTTCCTACCATGCCCCAAATTTTCAATAATCACTCCCTCCTCTGTCCTCTCCTTCCTTGTTCTTCTTCCAGTCATTGAATATGCACTATCCCTTTTTTGTTTCCCTACACCCTGCCTGCAATTGTTCTGGTCTAGTGATACACCAATGTACTGAGAATATAATGAAAGGTCTTTACCATTTTCTACAAGGCCCCAAACAATTCAGATCCACTGCAGAGCCGACCTCACCTTCCACCATTCCTGTTTACTTCCTACACTATAGTTGCGCTGGTCTTGCTGTAGCCCCATCATCCCAGGACAGTTCAGTATCAGGGTCTCTGTAATGCCTAGACTGATATTCCCAACATAGCTACATAGCTCACTCGCTCAGTTTACTTAGGTTTCTGCCAAAATGTCACTTGAATTGAAAGGCTTTCATTCCCACTCCAAATATATGAGCAAGTCTCCAGTTCCCACGTTTATTATCTTTATTGGAAGTTATTCATCTCAATAGCACTTACCACCATCTGACTGACTCTATATATACCTCTTTATTTGACTAATATTTATTCCCCATCCCAACCCCCACTATGTTGTGAACACCACGAAAGCAAGGACTGTGTGTTTGATTTATCACTGTAGATCCTGTACCATAGCCATGCCTGGTACAGAGACAGTGTTCTATTGCATAGCAATTAGGAGTATGGACTCTGGAGAGAAACTATTTGAGTTCAAGTCCAGACCCTACTGCTTAATCACCTGCTTACCTCAGGCAAGTAACAAACACTTTGTGCCAGTTTTTTCATTTATAAAATGCTAACAATGAGAGTGCCTACTTTGTAAACTTGAATTGAAGGTTCAATTAATTAATATATGTAAAGCACTTGGGAGACTGCCTGGTATATAGGAAACCCTATATATATATTTCATTTTTTATTGTGAATTAATTAAAATTAATTGTAGGATTATACCAAGCAAAACAAGCCAGACACAAAAAAGTAAATACTGTATGATTCTATTTACATAGATTTCTAGAACAGGCAGAAAATAATCTGGACGGGGGTGGAGAACAGGGGTTGCAACTAAGTATGAGGCAAGGGATGTGAGGCAGTAGCTTGGATTGACTGGGAAAGGACAAGAAGGAACTTCACAGGGTGAGAAAATGTTTTATGTCTTGATAGGAGTATAAGTTACGCAGATATATTTATTTGGCAGGATGCATCAAACTGTACACTTAAGATCTGTACATTGCACTGCATGTAAGTTATGCCTCAATTTAAAACTCAATTCGCTAAGTGAAAGAGACAAAAAGCCACATGTTGTATGACTCCGTTGTATGACATTCTGGAAAAGACAAGACTGTGGGGAAGGACAAATCAGTAGTTGCTAGGGATAAGAGGTAGAAGATAGGATAACTACAAAGGCATAGCACAAGGGAATTCAGGAGTTTTGGTACTATCCTATAGCATGACAAATCTCTCTGTATTTTTTCAAAACTTACGGAACATTAAACCACAAAGAGTGAATATTATTATAGGTTAAAACAAAATACAATCACCAGGTAGCAGAGGTAACACAAAATGGAATACAGACTATAACAAATGAACTTAACTGTATTACAAATGAATATCATAACCACACTGAAGAGGATGGAGAAGAAACCTAACTTACTTAGGAAAACTGTATTTTGACCAGATACTATAAGGCTAAAAGCAAAAAGAACTGTACAGAAATCCTGTACTAGAGTTAATAAATTTGTTTCTCTCAAGGGTATGGGTTGGCAATTCTGAACCACTTTATGTATATACTAGGGTTGGACAACTAAGTATATATGTTGTAGATCCTTAAAGCCAGTTTCTTGCTCTCAGAGACGTTACAAACAAGGAAAGAGAAAGGCTAGAGTGGACCCTGTGGTGTTGGATTGGAATTGGAGATAGAAGTAAGAACTTGGGGTTTCTTGAAAGATGATGATAGATACGTACATAGATACATAACTAGATAAGCACAGAGGTATGCGTATGCCTGAAGTGGAGTACATACATATATTTTCAACCTCTGTCAACAGAGAAGAAGACCTAGAAGCGGTGGCACTTCAGTAGCAATGAGTACACCTGGCACCTAGATCTAGGTTTGTAAATGCCATTCTCAAAAAAAGGGGATGGTAACCAGGGCTCCTTGGAGAAGTGGTTAATTCCAGGGCTCGGGCAGAGAAAATATAAAATGATCCTGGAATATCTTGCGATGCCATAAAGTAAAGAAATGCTCAAAAGGTGCTGGGTGCTTGTTGAAAAAACACAGGTGCCAACCTAAATGCTCTTTTAATAGAGAAGGAAGAGTCCCAGGGAAGTCCAAAAAACCTGCCTAAATATTTCCTTTGGGTCTTTGAAAAACACTTAACCTGTAACTACGCAGGAAAAGTCACTAGGAGGCTTAGCCAAGAATAGCTACTGAAAGGTGAAGAGTGGCACAGAAATTTAAGAGGACACACATTCTAGGAATTGGAGTTGGTTTTTGGACTCATCCACAGTGGAGTGATCTTGGGGAAAACCCATTTCAACCAATACCTTAGAAATGCCACACCATGATATGTATCATGCACTAAGAGGAAGAGATACACCTTAGGAGTAAGTGCAAAATTGAAATAAACCTGCCCTTACAAAATTTAAAAACTCGAGGTGATACATTAGTCCTATAACTGCCTGCCATTACAAAACTTAATCATTAGAAGAATAATCAAGAGCCTCTACAACATATCATTAACAATATCCAGCACACAATAAAAAAATACTAGACATGCAAAGAAACAGGAGAAGGTACCAATTATGAATGTGTAAGTCAATAGAGGCTGACCCAGAAACAATCCAGGTATTGGAGTCAGCAGACAAGGACTTCAAAATAATTATGAAAAATATGGTTTTTTTTAAATGAAGGAAATGGACACCTGTGTGGCTCAGTCAGTCAAACATCCAACTCTTGGTTTCAGTTCAAGTAATGATCTTGGGGTTGTGGGATCGAGCCCCACGTCAGCCACTGTGCTCAGCATGGAGTCTGCTTCAGATTCTCCCTCCCCTTCCCTACCACTCACTCTATCTCTCACATAAATAAATAAAATCTTTTTTAAAATAAATAAAAAATAAAAATGAAGGAAACATTGACAAATTGTGGAAAACTGAAAGCAAACTGCAAAGCTTCAAAGCAACCAAAGGAACACATTACTTTCAAAAGAGAATAATAAGACTAATGATGACTTTTTTAAAGAAACCAAAGAAACAGAAAGACAGTAAATGACATCTAAAGGATTAGATTGAAAAAAAAAAAGCTCAGTCTAAAATTGTATAACTTGACAAAATGTTCTTCAAAAGTGAAGATGAAATGAAAATGTTTACCAGTGGATTTTTTTAAGAGCTGAAAGAACTAATCAACAGCTGCACTTCAAGACACTAAAATGAGTTCTTTGGGCTGAAGGAAAATCATTCCATGTGGAGACCTATGGATGTAGATCAATAGGAAACATAAATGTGAGTAAATACAAATAATAACTATTTAAAAAAAAAAAACCTGTATAGTTTTAGAATTTTCTTGGAAATCTAAAATTTTTCTGAATAAAAAAGGTTTTAGGGGGCACCTGGGTGGCTCAGTTGGTTAAGCAACTGCTTTCAGCTCAGGTCATGATCCTGGAGTCCCAGGATCGAGTCCCACATCAGGCTCCCTGCTCAGTGGGGAGTCTGCTTCTCCCTCTGACCCTCCCCCCTCTCATGCTCTCTCTCTCTCAAATAAATAAATAAAATATTTTTAAAAAAAGGTTTTAGAAATTGTT